TCATGTCCGAGAGCTAAAGATCGATCCTAAACCTATCATTTGTGAAACCTCTTCGAAAGTGTTTCCAATTATTATCTATGAGTCTAACATTTTATCCTACCATTGTCATGCTTTGTATTTCATCTATGTATCAATTTCTATCGTTCTAAGAGCATACTCTCTTGCAAAGAGTTATTGGCTTCTTCATGTTGTAACCGCAAACTAAGTTTTTAATACAAGTATGTTGACCAAAAAAAAAAATACAAAGTTAACGAGTAATAGCAGCTTGAATTTCTTCGAGCGAACGACCTCGAGTCTCTGGTACCATTTTCATCACAAATAGGATGCCCACACCAGATATCATTGAATATATGAAAAACACACCTACGATTTAGAAAAAAACACAAATTATTAAATTTGATTAATAATAACTAGTAACTGATATGTTATACTACTTATTTATTTGTAAAAATCAAGTAAATTACCAGAAGAGCTCCACTGGAAGAGGAAGTTGAATGTGTAAGAAACGAACCAATTGCAGGACCAGCTTGTTAGATTGCATAGAGTCCCTGATGATCCCTTTATATTTATCGGCGTCATCTAATTATACGACAAAATTAAATTAAAAAAACACACAAGTTAAAGAGGGGATATGAAAAAAGCCTGGTTAGTTAAACTTGATACACATATAGATAATTTACATTAAATTAAAAATGTTAACATCTAACTATTATTCCCAACATATTAAACTTGGGTGGAATATGTTCTGTTTGGGACGTTGTTGCTAGCGACAATAGACGGTGACCAAAAATATCTGTATAACTAGGTTGCTTAGAACACGAGAATGTAGAAACCAAGTGACACCGAGTTGATTTTGGATTCGATAACTAAAACTGTCGCAAAAAAATAAAAATAAATAACAGCCGTAGCTACGACGATTTTAATGTCAAATAGATGTTGTCGAAAGGTGCTGGTGATCGCCAAAAGTGAGAAAACGTGCGTTAAATTTTCTTTCCACCTTTCAATAGTCGTGGTCGCTATGGCACGACAAGAAAACGAACATGGCTATAGTGTTCTACGTTAACGTGCATACAATACAATACAATTTATGACATTCTTTTTAATTAAATGTAAAACTGTATTCAAATCAAACTTTTGTTACAATATTACTAGCATGATTGTGAATATATATCAGTTTTAAGCGTTTTAATGTTTTTGAAATGTACTTCAGCTATTGCATTGATCAAGTTCTTATGTTTTTCCTTTTTTGTAAAATAGACTATTGTTAAAAAAATTATTTTCTTTATTTTCATATATATTACCAATATGTTTTGACGTCTTTTTGAATTATCTTACAACAAAACATTAGTAAATTCTAAGACTGTTACGTTTCATGATTCTTTTAACATATATATCAGTCATCATCTAGATATTCTAAGACTTTTATGTTTTTGAAAATCAATTTGACTCAATATATTCAAACATAACTATATTGTTTAACTATTCATCTTGTTAAGACCATATTGAAAACAAATGATTACCTCAGAGACCATGACCCATGGAATACCTCCTATTCCCAGTGTGATCGAAACTAGAAAAACCTGCAATTAAGAGTCAATATTTTTATTAATATTATTTACAGAAGGTCGGTAAATTATATAATTCTATTTCAAAAGAGTCGGTATATTATGTTAAGAAACTTATGTATATATATAGTTGACAGAAAATTATGTAAGCAGGATTTTTTGAAAATAATTTTTTTAGCAGAAATAAATTATTACGTACCAACACTCCGATGAATGTTGAAATCGGTGTGTAATTGTCAAGTAAAGAATAGCTCTGCAAATTAGTTTTAATTACTTTCAGTTATATTGGAAAAACAAAAACCAAGCAGATATCTTCTTATAGTACTTATATAATTCTATTTTAGATAATAAGAAAAACCTGTAACAAAAACGATAGTCCTGTGATAAATGACCCCAAACACATCATGAACGTCGAAACCTGCATGTAAGTAATTCACATGAACAAGGCGACATTAACTTCTGATTTAACTACCATATATTATATAGGATAATCTCTAACCATCAAAAGGGTTCGTCTCCCAAATTTATCCACGATTACTAATCCGATAACGCTCATCGTAGACTGCACCACGCTTGCTATCTGTACTCCTAGGTTGTTAGGAAACCCTGTGAACCATGCAATAAAATTGCATATGAATTTCTTTTTTGATGATTATATTACGTTTTTATAATATACTCCCTCCGTTGTAAAATGTAAATTGTTTTTGAGGCTTTTTTTATGTTTCAAAATATAAGTTGTTTTGATAATCTTAGATACACTTTTTAATTTTATTGACTATTGTATGACCAATAGTATTTTGCAGTCGTTTTTTTCATTGGTTAAATTATTTTTATTATATATATAAATTGGTACATTTTAGAAAAAAAAATAATTTCTTAATATTCGCACTTTTAACCAAAACAACTTACATTTTGAAACAGAGAGAGTAATTCTTTTTAGTAAGAGATGTAAATTTAAAGTTTAAACTATATACCAGATTTGTGAAAAATCGAGCTCATGTAAAACGTATAGCCACTTAGACCTCCAAGTTGTTGCAGTGCTAGCAATCCCATTCCCACCTACATATATACGAAGTATTCAATATTGCATCTTTATATATATTAAAAAAAATAATTGCAAGTTCAATTAAATTATTACAGTAACGGCACGAAAGTATTGCGGTTTGAAGAGCTCAAAAAATCCATCTTCTTTGGATTCTTGAAGATGTCCCATATATTTCTGAAAAAAAAAAGTCAAATTCTTTAAAATTTATGCTAATCGAAATAAAATAAACTTAATACATTATTTTACTTTGATTTCTGCAGCTTCTTTGGTGATATTAGTGTTGTTTCCTCTTAGACGTTGGAGAGCAACTTCCGATTCTTTTATCCGACCATTCCTAGACTATAATTAAGTTACAAAAATATATACCAAACTGTTAGAAATTGTTTAGTCTACTTGTAAATAGTTCTCAGAATTTGTATGTGTTAAATCAGTAGCTGCGAGACTAATAAATTACCAGCCACCTAGGAGACTCCGGTATGAAGAACAAACCGAGGAATTCTAAAACACAAGGAACTGTACCTGCACGATTCCAAGTGAAAAAAATATGATTTGTATCAACTTGATCTAAATTACAATTAAAATCCCTAAATATATAAGTATATATGTTATAGTATCATTTTTGGTAGGTGTAGTCTAAGATAGATTTATATTACATAAAAGAGCTAATTTCTGCCACGAAACGACTGATCCAACGAGAAATGTGAAAGCGGAGCTACCACACATAACGAGCTGTAAGAAAATAAAAGGTATAAGAAATTTGAAAATAAATTAATAACAGTTAGTCCATTTTTTGCTTTTACGTACCGCGCTAATCGCAGATAATGCGCCTCTGATGTTTTTGGGTGCAGTTTCTATGATGTAGACAGGTACCTATAGATTGAGATTACCCTTATATTTCGAGTTAATAACTAATGACTAACTTATTGGTTGCTTAAAGATCAACTAAAGCCCTAAATACAAGTCAATCTTTCTCAAAAAAAATATATATAAGTCAATCCATTAAATTACGTAATTTTTTTTTTTTTTGCTAAACATTAAATTACTTAATTACCACGTAAGAAGCTACACCAGCTGCGACCCCAAGCAAAAGCCTCCCGATATCAAGGGACCAAGTCGCCTAAAATAATATTGTAAATAACATTTATTAAACAGCAAAAATTAATCAGTTGACTATAGTTTAGGATTTTAAGAACATCTTCAATGCTTAGATATGAGTTTAAAAAATGTCATTTTTCAAGTGTCAATATTATTTACAATAAC